GTTTGAGGCTCCATCTGTCAACTCTATCAAAAAAATTTGGATCAGCTGAGAGACCACCATTGCTAGGACTAACACAGGCCATAAAGCCTCCTGTCCTTTTCAAACTGAAAATGGATGATGTCAACCTTCCACTTGCGACCAATCGTAAAATTGTAGATTTTTCATGTTTTATCTGCCTAATCTATAAGTTCTTACGAGGAAGTCACATCACTCTCTACACTGACTTGTCGGATAGCAACAATTACCAATAGATAACGGAGAACACATTCATTCTGGAGATAGAAAAATACATTTAGTATGAGTAAAAGCAAGTCATACAGAGCGACCACGCCCGTGAGGCTGAGCCATGTCACGCAATTAGATTGAATTGACATTTTTTTTCTTCACCTTCTCCGTCGTTTTGATTTTCCCCGCGTCAAACGTTGAATATCTATTTTCCCAATTGCCTCGTGTTCAGCTTTGAGGATTGTGTGGTTAGGATGTAGTGGCATTGGACAATAGCCACGCAATCCACAAAGCTGTGAACACGAGACTACTCAGAAAATAGATATTCAATATTTAACGCGGATAAATACCTAACGATGGGGAAGGCGCGAACAATGAGTTGAATGGACTGGAGTTGATCGAGTGGCATGGCTCGACCATGCAGGCGTGGTCTCTGCTGAATGTTACCTTATATCTTCTATTCATATTAAATATATTGTTCTTTCTCTAGCCTAACCTTGTTCTACATCATGTGTTGGTAATTGATACGATACAGTCAGTTGGTGTAGTCGATGGTGTGACTTCCACGTAAGATCTTATAGATTAGGCAGTTATATCATGACAAATCTACAAATTTAGGATTAGGTCTATTATTAGAGCAGTACTAATATCATAGTAGACCATAGTTCTACATTGGTGAGCCCAACTAAAGAAACGCAACCTATTATTGTTAATCTTTATTTCCACCTTAACCTCCTCAATCGGTTTTTATTTTATTCTAATAGTCCTTTGATTATTGGTCACATATTATCGTAATGTTTTATCTATTAGTTCACATAACTTACTAGCTCAATCGATAATAAAAGTTGATCATCTATATCGACTAATTAGCCTTGATTGTTCGTTAACAAGCTTTAATAACATTTACCTGCTTCAGCGACATAGACTTGTTTAAACATCAAGCTCTAGCAAATATGACCTGTAAATAGCGTAAGTATACATTGACTAACAATGCAATCAAGGATTGAATAGTTATCTGGATCTAATTATCAGTGTTCCTTCACCTAACACATCCTGTTTTAAACTATGCACTATCCTGTAATATCTTTTCTTCCGATCACTGCCTGTATAATTTCATATTTTCGAGTTCCATTGCCAAACAACAAGGATGACACTTCTCCAAAAACATACGGTGAGTTTCAGCCATAAGTTTTCTGCAATCATAAGGTCATTTTAGATGGCTCGTTCAATGGTGACCGCACAATTATCTGGATTCATTCGGTTGTCTGATCCGAGCGAGTGGCAAAAACGTCAACAGCATCAAGGACCCTGGAATTAATTGCCATACTGCATGTTTTATTCTGGATACTTTTGGATCATTACTAGTCACGAATGGCGTTATATATGTTGTCCACTGAATAATATAATTTTCAAAAATAACCCAGGCGAGTTCAACTATTTTACTTAATGATTTTTTTTACTTAACATGTATATGTTTTCCCGTTCCTTTTGCCATATATTTGTAAGTGTCCCTAGGCTAAATGCAGTAACTTCTTATGGAATGTTTATAACGCATCATATTCCTGTCTGAAGTTTCACAAGCGGTCTAAACTTTGAAATTATTTTCTGGTCATGTTCATTATTTTTAAATCGTCATATACGTCAACAACCTGCATGTTAACCTGGCCCATACATACGTTACACTATATCTCCAGTTCTTCTAAATTTAGAAATCATCTGGATCGCCTTTAACATTTATCAATAAACCCATCATAGTCGTTGTTGCCAATCGTATTTGGGTTTATAGATTGGTTTATCACATTAGCAGCCTAAAATACGAACATAGTTTAGATAATAAGATTAAAAATTTAGGTACTATCAACTGCAGTAGTAAAATAACTAAATCCCTAGGTAGCTGTTGGCTAAACAAACGTTTCAAATCAAAACTCCGTAGCCTACTAGAATTAACACTAAACGAATCTTTCTGAATTGAAATTTATGATTAAATTAGGCGTCTCGGATTCTTTAACGTTATAAATTTCTGATGATTTCGAATCACCTAAAGCAACAATACCAACTTTTCCACTGACTAATCCTCAATCAACACTATAACTAGTTAAACGTAATGGTTTCAGGATTTCGTCATAAAGCATTGTCACAACTTGACAATCACGTAATATGATTGATGAAATTAATGGAATTATTAACAAAATCGGTCAGCTAATTGACTTATAATTATCACTATTGTTGTTTTTCTTTTGTCTTCATTCACTACAGATGATTACAGTATGTTTCTCTATCAGTTGCTCATTCAGTAAATATCTCAAAACCTTGGCAGTCTAATTGATGGTTTAGCGACACAATCATGCATGCAAATAATCAGTATAAGCAGTCGAGCAAACCTCCTACAAACTGAAAACATCAATGTCGAATTTACCCTAACACTGACTAAGGTTCAAGCCATTATCATAGACATCAGTTGGGAGTGTACTCCCCCTCGTTACAACTTATGTTCTCTCTGATAATCAAATGAGCATCACTCACTATTAATCATCTTGTAAAAACTTATTTAGCTAAATACATCTTGCAGCACCACATCACTTCGTAATATGACACATAAGCTTAACTGATTTCAATAACTTATAACCACTATATCTCAATTAAATCGTATTCCGCCTTATGATAAACTGCATACTTGCAACTAACTTGTATGCCCAATCAGCCAGCAAGTATAAATATAAATTAATAGTCTGCCGCAGATCAGAACATTGAGTCCAGAGCATGTCTCTTACGAATACACTCATGTTCAACGATTTGTTCCTAGCTATCTGTCCAAAATTCATATAATCATCACTCATGTATTTAAATTTTATTTTGATAGCCATTCATGTGTATTAGTAGTATTACTAAATTCTATCACGGTCAAGTAAAAATGAGATTGAGAAAATCTCCCCGTAACTAAATAAAGCGTATCAAACTAACTGGAACACTAGTTGGAATTCTTCTCCACGTTAATATTTTTGTTCATTCAGTTAGCCTACTAATACATATGCAATTGGAATTCAACTCATGTGGACAACTTATCGGCATAAACGTTATTTGATTTCATAATTTAAACCGAAACTAATACCAATATTAACATTTCTACAATATCCATCACTTTAATATTTCTAAACACAAAATACTTACTACCTATACGTTAAGTTATTAACCAACGGCTATTAACACGCATCGTTTTATTATTATTATTATTATTGTTATGCCATTCTTCATAGTTCAAATAATCTTCACCCAAATTTCCATTTCAAGCGTTTTAAGCATGAAGGCAGATATTTTTAAATTATTACATGTATTTTCCGACCAGATGCTGCCGCTTTCTTTTTGATTTGTCTTTCAGCTTACCAATACCCGGAGGATTCTTATTATCCTTGGTAACCTCCGGCGCGCGACGATCCCATCCAGTTTGGTATCGAACCAACATCACGTTGATTCTGGTGGGAGAGTAGTGTAGTGGCATTGGACAATAGCCACGCAATCCACAAAGCTGTGAACACGAGACTACTCAGAAAATAGATATTCAATATTTAACGCGGATAAATACCTAACGATGGGGAAGGCGCGAACAATGAGTTGAATGGACTGGAGTTGATCGAGTGGCATGGCTCGACCATGCAGGCGTGGTCTCTGCTGAATGTTACCTTATATCTTCTATTCATATTAAATATATTGTTCTTTCTCTAGCCTAACCTTGTTCTACATCATGTGTTGGTAATTGATACGATACAGTCAGTTGGTGTAGTCGATGGTGTGACTTCCACGTAAGATCTTATAGATTAGGCAGTTATATCATGACAAATCTACAAATTTAGGATTAGGTCTATTATTAGAGCAGTACTAATATCATAGTAGACCATAGTTCTACAAGGACCTGTACCACAACACAACTCTCCTACCAGAATCAACGTGACGTTAATTCGATTACAAATTTAGTGGGATTGTCGCGCCTCGGAGGTTACCAGAAGAATTATAATAATCCTCCCGGTGCTGACAATCTGAAAGATATATCAGAAAGGGAGCGGCAGCAACTGGACGAGAGAAATTTCATAGAGTATTTTCGAAATGTTTGCTTTTATTCTAAAAACGCGAAAAATAGAAATCCACATGAAGATTATTAGTTCAACATAATGGAATTATGACAATTAATAATGATTCCATGTAGAGATATTTTATTAAGTCGTTGTAAGGTGTAGTAATAGCTGTTGATTAATAGTTTAACCTACAAGTAGTACAAGTATTTTGTGTTTATAAATATCAATTTCGAATCAGTGCTGATTTCGGTATAATTTTTAGTTTAAATCAGAAAGTCAATTAAGGTCATTGTCGGTGTGCCCTTCGTATGGGTTGATTTCCAATTTCATGTGGATTAGTTGGCTAACATTGACGTGAAAAACTGGAAAAACCGAATAGTAAGCTGAGGCAAAACCACAGCCGACTAATAGTTCTGGTAAAACTCAAAAAGAAAATTAATCTACCGAACATTAAGTTCATTTGGATCAGTCGCCTAACGTAGTTACGGTTCAATATATGCAAGCTTTTTGAAATCAGAGGTCAATCCTCTATAAATCTTCAGCATGTGATCAATTTTAATTGCAAATCTAAAATATCATGCATTGTTTAAGGCTGGTTTTAAGATATACAGACATTGAAGTTCTCATTTTTGTTTGCACGACCTATTTCACATGGCCTACAAATCATGAGTTCACTTCGAATGTGGGTGTACAGCAGGGTATTCAAACATGCTGGGTATCATAGCGACAGTGTTTGTGGCTTACTCTTTCACGTCATATATTCTGCTGAGGAGACCGATCATATTTCTCAGAAGAAAGCGGCTTCCTTTCGAAGCCTCTCATATTAGTCACCGGGGTGGTTCAGGAGAACAGATTGAAAATACTTTAGAGGCTTTCAGTAGGTATGAATGAGCATTTGTCATAATTGTACGTTAATCACACGTAGCTCTTTTCTTGTTGGCACAAATATGTTCGAGACTGATTGTCATATCACGAAAGATAATCAGGTTGTCGTATTTCATGATAATACGCTAGATCGTTCTACTGGAGTGTCGGGTTTAGTGAAAGAATTTTCATACGAAGATTTACCTAGATACCTTAGAGTAATTGAAGTTCAATTCACCCCAGGTATAAAGTCATTTTAGCTGTGTCGTTTTTTTATTTTTAACTGATATCAATCCAGCCTTTATTGTTAGATCTAATATCAGTATTCTTTAGTGTATTGTGACGAGTGAACAAACTAGATTGTTGTTCTCTCAAGATAACTTTATAACTATTCAGGGTCTTTCAACTACTTGCTTCTCTACAAATCAAAGGCGTTTTACGTGCTGGAAATGAGTGAAAGTCCTGGGGATCCCTTAGGAGTATAAGAAGCTATATACCATGTTTAAGCGGTTCATTTCTTCCATGAGTTCACAGTAGTTTCTGCAGTTGAGTGCTTTTAACGTGCTTGAACATCAGTATGTATATAGTTTGATTAAAAGTAGGAGGATATTACTGATTTGATCTCACTTGATAGTTATAAGATGTAGTTGCAGACTTGTGTGGTATAAAAATAAGGACTCATAAATGACTGTGTAATATCCACATGTTGTGACGTGTTTGCACCTTTAATTAATGCCGAAAAGCTGTGCTTTCTGTCACAACATTCTATTTCAATACGATGCATGGATTTCGAAAATCGGCAAGGTATTCCGGTCATTTTTATTAATAGAATTCTTAATTACCTACCCAGTTGTTTTCTGTCACTTATTTTATTTAATTATTTGAACACATAAATATTGGTACAAAAGGGCACAAAATATGTGTGCCCCACAAATCTCATTTGATATGTGTGAGGGCTGTGATACTGCTCGGGTGCCCAGACCGAAGTAGGTGGTTTTCTTAGGGGGCCACGCCCCCAGCCTTTGACCTAACGGTCTAACTCACAAGGCAGTGGAGCATCGTGAGGAGATGCAGTCCCATGGTAGCCGGTGGCCAAAAAATTGGTTCATACGCCATTTTCCCCCACAGGATACTGGGCCGTATGTGCACCATTGATTTCGGATCTGGTTAAAGCGCCGGATATTCGCTGAAACACGCATACAGGATCCCAGTGTAGTCATTCACTTGACCTCATCTCGGCGAGACGGAGAGCCAACGAGATACACCCTCCGTGTATCTGGCGACCCGATGACTAGTTCTGTTAGACTTGAGAGTGTAAGCATAGTACTAAGTAGGAGAGCAGAACAAGCACTATTAGAGTGGATCCCCGTTAACAGTCGTCTATGTGCTGTTAGGCTACACGGCTCTGTAAAATCTCAGAAGGATAGGGACACACGTCGTTGCCTTTTTGTCGTTTCTGCCTACGCTCTTACTGACTGCAGCTCAGATGAAGGGAAAGATGAGTTTTACAGAAAGCTATCTGAACTTCTTCAGAAAGCTAAACGTCCAGACATAGTACTCGTAGCAGGTGACTTTAATGCCCAGATAGGTAGCTTAAACCAAACAGAAAGGCATTTAGGTGAGTATTTTAGTATTCCGGCTCAGCGAACAGATAATGGTGATCGTCCGCTGCAACTATGCTCAGACAATCGTTTATTTTCAGCAAACACAAATTTTAAGCATAAGGAGAGACATCGTCTAACATGGTGACCCTCTACACCAAACCAACGATGGACTCAAATAGACAATATTGCCATCAGTCATCGTTGGAGAGGGTCGGTAGAAGATTATCGCTCATTCTGGAATGCCTGCTTGGACTCCGACCATGCCCTAATATGGGCACGCATCTGCTTGTGCCTCACTGGACGCAAAAAAGTCACAGTAAAAAGACTCATTAGAACTGGATTGAGTAGCGAGAAAACCAAAAGTAGGTTCCAGGAACAACTGATGTCACAATGAGGTAGTTCTAAAAACGAGGCTGACCCAGATGTCGCTTGGAAAGCTATACAAACAGCTGTGGAAACAGCAGTGACATCTCTCAGTGATATAAACCACGGGGTTACAAAGAACCAATGGATTTTCTCAAGGTCTGTTGCACTGATGGATTCTCGTAAAGTCATCCCATCAGGCTGTGAACACGATGAAGAGCGACAACAAATCAGATCTAGGTTAAGCAAAAGTCTAGGGAACGACCGTGAGCAGTGGTGGGCAACGAAAGCAAAATAGATGGAAAGGGCAGCGACTGTTGGTAACACCAGACAGCTTTTCAGACTGATGAAAGAAACTAGAATTAAAGAGTCAAATGTAAGTCAGACTATTTCGGAAAAAGACGACACCGTCATCTACTCTCGGTCCAGACGTTTAGAACGATAAGCGGAACACTTTAGGGAACAGTTCAGCTGGCCTTCAGCTACTCTACAACTACCCTCCATTCCCAGACAGTGTAAATGGAACATTGAAGTAGGTCCTCCAACTCTAGCAGAAGTTCAAAAGGCCATAGTTAATCTGAAACGAGGAAGGGCAGTTGGTCCAGATAGATTGGTTCCAGAGGTCTTTAAGGATGGTGGTCCAATTTTAGCGATTCGGTTGACTAGTATTTTAGTTAAAACCTGAGAACTGGATATAATCCCATCTGAACGTTCGCGATCAGTGATCGTCCCAATATATAAGAGAGGGTTAAAATCACCCTGTGACAACCATAGAGGCATTAGTTTAACTAATATAGTATCTAAAATATTAGCCTCAATAATTATCAGACGCTTAACTAAGACTCGTGAACTGCAAACACGAGAGAATCAAGCTGGCTTCAGACCTAGTCATGACTGCATCGACCACATATTCACCATTCGTCAGGTTCTAGAACACAGGCATGCTTATCGGCGTCCGACAATGGTAGTCTTTCTTGATTTAAAAGCAGTATTTGACCCTGTAGACCAAGAGGTTCTGTAGCAGTGTCTGTCATTGAAAAGTGCACCACAGAAGTACATAAACATTATGAAGGCTCTTTACTCGAACACTACTAATCGAGTCAGAGCTTATGGCGAACTGTCATCTGATTTTGCAACCTCAAGTGGTGTCCGTCAAGGCTGTCCACTTTCTCCATTTTTGTTTAACCTCACCATAGACTTATTGATGGGAATAACATTCTCGTCTACTGAATTTTCGGGCATTGATCTCCTGCCAGAGGGTCCACTTATCAACTTAGAATACGCAAATGGCAGTCCCACTTGTTGAAGACGCTGATAAAATGCAAAGTCTTTTGGTAGCACTGAGCAACAATGCCAGAATGTTTGGAATGCTCTTCTCTCCCTCTAAATGCAAGTTGTTGCTTCAGGACTGGTCTGCGTCAACGCCTGAACTAAGGATAGGTAGTGAAGTAGTCGAACGCGTTGACAACTTCACTTATCTTGGAAGTCTGATCAGCCCTAATGGGTTGGTGTCTGACGAAATCTCAGCACGGGTTCAAATGCGCGTTTGGCTTTTGCCAACTTACGTCACGTGTGGCGAAGGTGAGATATCCGTCTATCAATAAAAGGACGAGTATACTGCTCGGCAGTTCGTTCTTTTCTACATTACGGCTGCGAAATGTGACCATTAAGAGAAGACACTCGTAAGCTACTAGTATTTGACCACAGATGCCTTAGAAATATTGCTGGCGTCTGCTGGGATCACCGGGTAAGTAATAGTGAGGTTAGACGCAGTTTATTAGGGAATGATGGTAAATCAGTCGATGAGGTTGTGAATCTTCATCGACTGAGATTGTTGGGCCGCGTGTTACGTATGCCTAAACACCGATTACCACGACGTGCAATGCTAACGGGTGTTCAGGATGGTTGGAAGAAAGTTAGGGGCGGCCAAACCATAACGTGGCATCAGTGCTTGAAGTCAATAACTTCTAGTCTGAGTCATGTTGGTAGATGCAGACTACTTGGTTTGGGTCCGCGTGACTATCGTAACCAATGGTTGGAGAATGTGGGTGACATGACTCAGAATCGATCACAATGGCATTGGTGTATACACTCTTTGTCTTCCTTTAAACTATGAGATTAAAATCGCTTCATATCTTTCTTTGTACGAACTAATTCTTTCTTCCTGTACTATATCCTTATTGCAATCTTTCTTTTATATATTACCACCTCTGAATTAACTACTTTTATGAATCCGGTGTCCATCTTGTTGTGTTAATGAGGTATGGCAACTTGGATCGATGAATATATGTGCCTGGTCCTACGTTGTAGCTGGCTGACTGACTGACATTCGCTTTTCGTTTTCTCATTTTCGTAAACAACACCCCCGCCACGAGAAGACAGTGAATAGGACTTCCCTGGCAGAGGCTGTATACGCGTGGCCGTGTGAGAGCATTTCGAGAGGGAGGAAGGGCCCATATTTTTATCACTTTATATGCGTGTCCTACACTATTTTCGAGATCCAATTGTATCAATGTTTAATAACCTTAAACACATACAAAAATAACATTCCTGACTCTATCAAAAGTAGTAATAAGGCTTCGTTAATTGAGGTATGTTGCATAACAGATTTTCACCAATAGATTCTTATCATACAACTTTAAATTTGCATGAACTTGAACTAGTCGTTATCATGTCTTGGGTTTTTTGTTGACCTCTATTCTGTGCATTGGTTAACATCTGAATTTCCTACATCAATAATCATTTAACTAACTGTGATTTCTTATCTCTACCCCAGTTAGGCTCCTTTTGTATTGCGGAGTCTCCCTCCTCATATAAAATTCCACGATTAGAGGACTTGTTTAATAAGTTTCCAAATACCCCCATCAATATTGATATTAAAGTTAATGACAATCTTCTCATCAATGAGGTTAGTTTGTGACTATATTTATTTATGTGTACTCATTTGCACCCAGTTTTTATCTTTTCTTTATGTATAGCTTCACTTTATTTGACCGTTGTATATTTTGCCGATATCCAACGTTCGTATTACAATTAAGAACTGACCCACCTAACGAGACGGAAGTCTGCAAGGAACTCACAAGGCGTCACAAATCGCCATGCCCAGTTGACTTACCTCCGGTCTCTTTTAACGATTGCAGCGATCTTCTGGTTAAGGAACTGACTGAGTTGTTTACAAATGCCTAGCAATTAGAGTGCCTCTATGTCGTAGATTGAGTCGATAGCTGTCCTTGTATTTAGGAAGGGTTCACGTCGTTTCTGCGACTACCATCGGTGTATAAATCTACCTCGCATCGCGTCTCGATCATTGCTGCCACCTTGACGTAGTGGTCGGGCATGCCTAACGTGATGAATCAAACGAACTGTACTGCCTGGAACATTCATTCCTCAAGGTCCTACCATGCCAGACAGGTCGGTTGAACAGCAGAAAGACTGAAAGCGCAAACCCAAGGTTTGAGGGTGAAGTCATACCGGTAACTGTACAGAAGTATGACGGCAGTAAGGTGTTTCCTTCAGAAAACCGGCATAACAGCGATGCTGCCTTCCCACAAGGAGGGGTAGGGTTACAAAACGTCGACCCTAAAAATGCACACCTCGCCTTATCCCACGGATATCCGTCTCCGGCGGCGAAGTTCCAACAAGTATAAGGTTGATTCGAAAATTACTCACAAGAGGTCGTGTGTGACCGGCCTCAAGCAGTTGTTTCTTGGGAACTGCGGTCACACTCTTAGGTCACTAAGACCACCTCTAATCCACTTTCCTTTTCAGGTACCTTCAGAAGAACCCTTCCACAGTGTGTGCAACTGGGAAGTGATAACCGCCCTCATAACTCTATCAGCACTCAAGACTACAGTATCCATTATCAATTTCCCTCTTCGATTCCCATTATTCCTCGTATCTCGACTTTGAACTCTAAACTTCCTCTTTTGGCTTTCTTCTCGAGTGTCACCATAGCCAAGGATTCTAGTGCGCAAAACACTGTCCCAAGTCTACTGAAACCTCGCTCCAAACTACACATTGGAGCCTTCAACGTATGCACATTATGTCAAATCGGTCAGCAGGCCTCCTTGGCTAAAACCCTAGGATCACGTACCATTGATGCATGTTGTGTCTCCGGAACACGCACACAGGATCCTAGTGTGGTCATTCACTTGACCTCATCTCGGCGAGACGGAGAGCCAACGAGATACACCCTCCGTGTATCTGGCGACCCGATGACTAGTTCTGTTAGACTTGAGAGTGTAAGCATAGTACTAAGTAGGAGAGCAGAACAAGCACTATTAGAGTGGATCCCCGTTAACAGTCGTCTATGTGCTGTTAGGCTACACGGCTCTGTAAAATCTCAGAAGGATAGGGACACACGTCGTTGCCTTTTTGTCGTTTCTGCCTACGCTCTTACTGACTGCAGCTCAGATGAAGGGAAAGATGAGTTTTACAGAAAGCTATCTGAACTTCTTCAGAAAGCTAAACGTCCAGACATAGTACTCGTAGCAGGTGACTTTAATGCCCAGATAGGTAGCTTAAACCAAACAGAAAGGCATTTAGGTGAGTATTTTAGTATTCCGGCTCAGCGAACAGATAATGGTGATCGTCCGCTGCAACTATGCTCAGACAATCGTTTATTTTCAGCAAACACAAATTTTAAGCATAAGGAGAGACATCGTCTAACATGGTGACCCTCTACACCAAACCAACGATGGACTCAAATAGACAATATTGCCATCAGTCATCGTTGGAGAGGGTCGGTAGAAGATTATCGCTCATTCTGGAATGCCTGCTTGGACTCCGACCATGCCCTAATATGGGCACGCATCTGCTTGTGCCTCACTGGACGCAAAAAAGTCACAGTAAAAAGACTCATTAGAACTGGATTGAGTAGCGAGAAAACCAAAAGTAGGTTCCAGGAACAACTGATGTCACAATGAGGTAGTTCTAAAAACGAGGCTGACCCAGATGTCGCTTGGAAAGCTATACAAACAGCTGTGGAAACAGCAGTGACATCTCTCAGTGATATAAACCACGGGGTTACAAAGAACCAATGGATTTTCTCAAGGTCTGTTGCACTGATGGATTCTCGTAAAGTCATCCCATCAGGCTGTGAACACGATGAAGAGCGACAACAAATCAGATCTAGGTTAAGCAAAAGTCTAGGGAACGACCGTGAGCAGTGGTGGGCAACGAAAGCAAAATAGATGGAAAGGGCAGCGACTGTTGGTAACACCAGACAGCTTTTCAGACTGATGAAAGAAACTAGAATTAAAGAGTCAAATGTAAGTCAGACTATTTCGGAAAAAGACGACACCGTCATCTACTCTCGGTCCAGACGTTTAGAACGATAAGCGGAACACTTTAGGGAACAGTTCAGCTGGCCTTCAGCTACTCTACAACTACCCTCCATTCCCAGACAGTGTAAATGGAACATTGAAGTAGGTCCTCCAACTCTAGCAGAAGTTCAAAAGGCCATAGTTAATCTGAAACGAGGAAGGGCAGTTGGTCCAGATAGATTGGTTCCAGAGGTCTTTAAGGATGGTGGTCCAATTTTAGCGATTCGGTTGACTAGTATTTTAGTTAAAACCTGAGAACTGGATATAATCCCATCTGAACGTTCGCGATCAGTGATCGTCCCAATATATAAGAGAGGGTTAAAATCACCCTGTGACAACCATAGAGGCATTAGTTTAACTAATATAGTATCTAAAATATTAGCCTCAATAATTATCAGACGCTTAACTAAGACTCGTGAACTGCAAACACGAGAGAATCAAGCTGGCTTCAGACCTAGTCATGACTGCATCGACCACATATTCACCATTCGTCAGGTTCTAGAACACAGGCATGCTTATCGGCGTCCGACAATGGTAGTCTTTCTTGATTTAAAAGCAGTATTTGACCCTGTAGACCAAGAGGTTCTGTAGCAGTGTCTGTCATTGAAACGTGCACCACAGAAGTACATAAACATTATGAAGGCTCTTTACTCGAACACTACTAATCGAGTCAGAGCTTATGGCGAACTGTCATCTGATTTTGCAACCTCAAGTGGTGTCCGTCAAGGCTGTCCACTTTCTCCATTTTTGTTTAACCTCACCATAGACTTATTGATGGGAATAACATTCTCGTCTACTGAATTTTCGGGCATTGATCTCCTGCCAGAGGGTCCACTTATCAACTTAGAATACGCAAATGGCAGTCCCACTTGTTGAAGACGCTGATAAAATGCAAAGTCTTTTGGTAGCACTGAGCAACAATGCCAGAATGTTTGGAATGCTCTTCTCTCCCTCTAAATGCAAGTTGTTGCTTCAGGACTGGTCTGCGTCAACGCCTGAACTAAGGATAGGTAGTGAAGTAGTCGAACGCGTTGACAACTTCACTTATCTTGGAAGTCTGATCAGCCCTAATGGGTTGGTGTCTGACGAAATCTCAGCACGGGTTCAAATGCGCGTTTGGCTTTTGCCAACTTACGTCACGTGTGGCGAAGGTGAGATATCCGTCTATCAATAAAAGGACGAGTATACTGCTCGGCAGTTCGTTCTTTTCTACATTACGGCTGCGAAATGTGACCATTAAGAGAAGACACTCGTAGGGTACTAGTTGGGGGCGGCCTAATCGAAACGGCGCCGGTCCATAAAGTCACTAAATTCTAGTCTGAGTCATGATGGCAGATGCAGACTACTTGGTTGGGGTCCGCGTGACTATCGTAACCAATGGTTAGAGACTGTGGGTGACATGACTCAGAATCGATCACAATGGCATTGGTGTATACACTCTTTGTCTTCCTTTAAACTATGAGATTAAAATCGCTTCATATCTTTCTTTGTACGAACTAATTCTTTCTTCCTGTACTGTATTCCTTATAACCATTGAATTAACTATATCTATGAATTTGTTGTTCACCTTGTTGTGCTAATGAGGTGTGGCAATTTGGACCGATTCACATATGTGCTTGGTCCTACGTTGTAGCTGACTGACTGGATGTTGTTATAAAATTCGTGTTTTTGATGGTATACGTTAACTGCCCGTCATAAATTATGAATTTAAACTTCACGTACTTTTGTCGTAACAGTTGGTTATTTATTGTCATTCCTTATCACAAGGATGGAAAATCAGTTGGCAATATTTTTACGATGCTTCTATTACATAATTGTACAGAAATACTGTTTTGTCGTAGAAACATTTCCAATTTGCTGTTTCTTTTTTTAAATAATGTAACCATTTACTTATAATGTGTAGCAATTTATACATTAATTAATTTCCCAACATTAATATTTTAAACAATTCTGATTATGAAGACAGATCAAATAATAACAGCCGTGTTGGGCTGTTAATGTGATCCTGCTCAGTATTCAGAGGGAAAAACAGTTTTCGAAGAGGTAACTGTTTTTTTCTGTCTGTTAGATCAGCTTAATTTTGTAACTAGATATCCGTTAGTTCTATCTGTATGACAAAATGATGTATGGCAGCCATAAAATAACACTTCTAAAGTTGATGAAAATTGGTGCACCAATTTGTTTTCTTATAGTTTCATTCACTTTATTTTACAAAAAGTATATGGTTAGTGAAGTCTTGGTATAAAATTAGTATTCACACTTTTAATGCAAAAAAAGCGTATGTATAATTTATTTAACTGTCAATATTAGTCTACAATCCTTGACAAATTACTGTAATTTATGATACTTCAATTTTTTCACCAATTCTATTTGACCTTATACTAATAGAAGTATATTTTAGTTAACAAGGTAATGTTTTAACTAATTTACTATGAAAGTAAATTTTTCTATTCATCTTACATTCACATTAAAGTGCAATCATCCTCCACATAATGACTAATAATTTTGTGTTTATACTCATACTTATTATAAGTGAGAAATTCTTCAAAGTGAATAACAAGAGAATCTCTTCCCTTCAAAAAAAAGTCATACAATAATTAAGTTTGTTATAGTATAATCAGATATTTTGTACGTCAACATTCCTATTCAATTTTCTAATTAGTATAAAATAGTGCATTACTACTACTACCACTACTGTCATGTGAGTTTTTATGTTTTATCTCTATAGCAGAAGCATTCTCATAATTTATAATATTATTCAGTCGTTTATACATTTCTCAAGATCCTAGCTACTGAATGGTTAAATGAGTAACCAGTAGGTAGACTAGTCAGTATAATTTATCCAATATTTCATTTCGCTTACTTAACTTTTCATAAATAAGATATATTTTGTCGGACATTCTTTGTATAACTGTAAATCTGGGCTTTGTAGTAACAGTATGTAGTTTGACGATAGTATATCTAAATAATATGCATCACAAATGCCATTTGGAACCTGATAAAAGTTGGGATAAGAAGGCGAGGTCACATTATCTCTAACTCGATGTAATATTTTATGACGCTAGTTCAGTCCCAATGATATTTTGAAATTGGTTTTATTTTCATTGTAACATTTAGTCAGAACTGTATTAGGGTTTATATTCCCCAGTGCAACATTCTTTCAGGTCAGCATATTCATTATCAGTTAAGTGCGAGTTTCATTCAATATGAATGGTGTGAACTTTCGTCCTATGATTTGATATTCATCTCGTTGTGTTAACGTGGTAAGGGAACTTGGACCGATGAATATGTGTGCGTAGTCCTTAGGTGTAAATGACTGACTGATTATGTCCAAGCTATTGGCTTTCTTCATATTTCTATATTATTCAAAACCTGAGAAAGTTTGATTTGCGAGTTACAGGCCAGTTTTCGTTCTAGTCAAGGATGTATTAATTACAACTTCACCCTCCAGCAAATTTTAGAACACCGTTATATTTATTGCAGGTCAACCATCCGAGTTTATTGATATTAGGGCCGCCTTCAATTGGTTGAACAGGACTGTTCTCTGGGATCGTCTATTAAAGAAGGGTGTGGTGGGAAGTTTATCAACATCTTGAGAGCCCTATATACAAACACTTCAGTCAGATTGAGAGCATGCAACCACATATCTCCATCGTTCCATTCAAGCAGTGGGGGGCAGGCAGGGTTGTCGAATCTCATCATTCCTGTTCAACTTTGCTATCGATGATTTTCTGGAAACAGCTCTGATGGATGTAGGTAGTGGTAGTGTGGATCTGTTGCCTGACGAAAAACTTCAATTTTGAGTAGGTGAATGATATTGTCTTACTGTGCGATGATACCTTAGCCATGCAATCCATACTTAATCACTTGACAGTCAGTGTCCGTAGGTATGGCATGTGCTTCGTACCTTCTAAGTACAAAGTACTTCTACAAAACTGGCAGAATTCTAATCCTGCCCTCACTCTGGATGGTGAACAGATAGAAGTAGTCGGGAAGTTCGTGCATCTGGGTAGCTGCGTGAGTGATGAGATCAACTCATATAGTTAAAGCGGCTTATGCCAATTTGGGCCTTTTTTACGCTTGCGTGATGTCAATCTGTCTGTAAAAGGTCGAATCAACAGAGCGTTGATGAGAGCAGTTTTGCTCTATGTTTATGAAACCTGGTCTCTCTGAGTTGAAAATGTTAGACGACTCTGTGTTAGATCATCGTTTTCTCCGAAAGATTACTGACATCCAGTGGCAACACCATGTTGGTAATGCAGAGGTCCGGCATCGTGTGTTCAGGCACAGCGACGATAATTCAATTGGTATCACTATCTTGAAACATCAACTTCGGTGGCTTGGACATGTCCTACGAATGTCACCTCAGAGAATCCCACGTCTTGTATTAATTACCTGACGCTGGGACTGGTTGGAAAAAGCGAATAGGTGATCAGTGTATAGCATGGTATTATGGTATGAAAGAAAACTGTACAGGAGTGGCTTCCGTTAGTCCTTCACGGATGGTGCAACACAGTGGCTAGAAATGTTATCAGATATGGCTCGAAATAGGAATCGGTGGTGATCCCGCTGTGACTTCATAAAACTTAGAGTGACTTCTTTACCTGAAAAAAACACTTTCTGGTTGTATTTTTCCTAGCTGAACTGTCTGTCCCATTATCATTATTACCTCACTTGCACTAATTTCTTTTTATTGACGCTCTTGATTTCATTATATCCACTCTCCATTCTCTATCTCTTCACAACCTCGTTGTTATTTTGTGGCGCATATTTGGTGCCCCCTGTTCCAATGTTTGTGTTCAAATAAATAATATATTCACTCTGAAAAAGGTTGACTATCTACATGAGTTCTATCGTTATTTCCTTATATGATCTCAGTTTTTGATGGGTTTTTAGTTCAGTGTATGAAGTAGAAATCATATAATTCTCACGTTCTCACCACCACTACGAGAATATAGACTTACTTACCTAAAACGTTTGCACCTATTTGACGAGATTACATTTTCTGTTGCTATTTTTATAAAAGTGGTCCATGGAAATGTTTTCTCAGTTTTATAAATTTTGTCCACACCAAGATTTCCTTAATATTTATATGTATTCACCTAAATGGTATTACAAAATTGCCTACTTATATCTGGAAATACTCGCTTTTACTTTGAATTTTTTGGGACAGTTAAACTATGGGGGATTATAGGTCTCCTGACATTTTGATCTCATCCAACAGCTCCCACTGGCGTAAAATATAACATTAAAACTTGTTTCAAGAGTTTCGTAGTTTGTCGCTTTATCTAATAATTTATGCTAACGAAAATTACCCTGGTAGCGATTTACATCATTTTAACACATAAGAAATATTGAGTTCTTTTATATTCCTTCTTATTTGTACTGTGAAGCTGTTATAGGAGAAAGTTATTATTGTTATGTTTTGGGTTTTTGATATCAAAAGAATACACAATTCGTCGCCATAACAGGTTTTCCTTGCTCAGTAAAATGACACTTATACGTAGCATTATGCAAATATAAATACGATTAAGTTATTTTAAACGTCAGTAAATGTAGGATACAGGTCTTTATAGGTCATCCAGTTGGTACTAAAACTTATAATCTATCAGTTCGATTTCACAGCTGTAACATTAACGGAGAGTAGACGATGCTTTTTGGAAATTCCAAGTATTTCTAAAAAGTCTACAACGTTTTTAATTATCCTCATGAGCTTATAACAGTTGACCAGTCTGTTAATTGCTTGATTACCAAGAATTTTTTCAAATCTAAATGATCTTATTTTATAATCAGTAACCGCGCTAATTATCTGGTTTTTCAGGTTTTGGTTTTGTGAATTTTCCTCAGCAGTTCTTGAAATGCTATCACATATCAACCATTGTTCAGCACTCAAAATTTTTATATGCATGAAATTTTTCCCCGATGGTTTATAATATACTGAATTTACTTACTACTATTTTAGGTTGCCCGCCTTACTGAAACTTACAATCGAGAGCATATAACTGTATGGGGGTCAATAAATTCAAAAGTATCAAAAAAATGTGAATTACGCAATAAAAACATTCTCACTTTTGCTCCAATTTCGTATGTAATATGGATAATGGCGTGTTATGTTGTGGGACTACTCCCTTTCATACCTATAAAATATGATTGTTTTGAAATTCCTTTAGTTTCTGTTATTCGGTAGGTTAACATGGCCTTTTTGTTGTCTATTATCACTATTATTTGCCCATCTTGTTACTTTTTATAATTCACTAACGACTGAGTAGTGACTAATCCCACATATCTCAAGTCCGTCTCAGTAATATTCGAATTCTATTGATCAAGTTGCAATGGGCTCACTAGTCTAAGTGACTCAATATCACGTACACTATGTTGAGATGTAAATTGGTGGTTGGAGGTAATCGACAGGAAACCCTAGACCTAGATTTCATATTATTTGGTACTCGTCAACAAGGTGTACTTTTAATTTTGAGGGGAATGACGCTCCCTAGCAGTTCCAATCCCGTCACCCGACTTCACAGTTTATAAAGATAATTAAGTATTTAATCTTTCAACAATAAACTCGTTTGATTTAAGCAATTAATTAACGACTTTAGAACACCTTTTTCTGTCAGGTGTATTGATAGCACCCATTTGCTTAATCCGAAATAGGCATAACCGGGTTTGAACTTGCAATTTATCAATCAAAAGACAGTCACTTCGAAAACTAAGTCATTTTTACCACTTCAATTTCGTTTTCTGAATATACTTTCTTGGAGCCGTGAAATAATGGCTATAGCTTTGTAATACCAACCAGTAGGTTACAATTTGAAATTATACTTCCTCTCTCTCGTTCAAGGGAGTTGAATAATATCATTAATCCTTACAGAAACAATGTAGCTCGAAACAATGTATGAAAACTCTTAAATGGTAAATAAAGTAAATACTTGCTTTACAACAGTCGATATTCTTTATAAATACCTTTTACACAACATGGAGTGCCACATATTTTATCCTTTCCAATACAAACTTCTTTCGACAACTAGTGCTCGTGTATTTACGTGCTTAAAACCAGTTCATCCACTGTATATGAACTCCCGACCGTAGCTACTAAATTGACCCAGTCAATAGGCTCAATTTACTGTCCATGTATCTGGAGCCTCCCCTTGCTTGCGTAGGTATAGGACCAAGTTCGAAATCAGAACAGGCTTTCTTAGACCGTATTCCAGTAATTAGTTGTGTGTTCTCTCTCCGACTAACTGGTGAAGTACAAACACGGTCAGATAAGGACATGTCACGTTGTCTCTCTTTTTACTCCCATAGACTGCAATTGGGATGAATAAAACGATGTTTTGCATTAAGCTTTATATAACTGTCTGCTACGACTGTGCTCAGAAAGCCGTTTATTCTTTGAAAGCACCAACTTTAAGCATAATGATAGACATCGTCTTACACGGCATCCCTCATAACCGACTGACTGTCAGACGCAACTAGATTATACATCCGTCATTAAAGAGGCTCGACAGAAAACTGCTGCTCATTCCGAGGCATGTGTGTAAACTTTTTCAGGCTATAATACGAACACGTATTTTTTGCGTCTTACTGGACACAGAAAAACCAAACCAAGAAGACCCCTTGTAGATTAGTTTAACGACGAAAATGTCAAGATTATGTTTCAGAAACAACTAGAGAAACATTTGGTCAGATGTTAAGGCGATTGTCCTTCGATTTGTTTGGTATGATATCCAGACAGCTTTGAAAATAAGACTGACCTACGAGCTACTGTGACCATCAGAATGTGACGAGGAATCAAGCGAACCTAATCTCAGACTGATACAAAGCCTATGCAACGATCATGAGCAAGAGTGGTCAGCGAAAGCCAAAGCTAAGGGGAAGACAACGACGACAATAAGTTTTTCAGACTTGTAAAAAACAGGTCGGAAATTAGGGGCTTTTGTGAAAAAAAACGGAACAGTGATCCACTCTCAATCTAGGAGACTGAAGTGACTAGCAGGACGTGTTGAAAGACAGTATAACTGTTATATCCGAAGATTAAATTATGGGTTACTTCTGGGGTCTATATATAGTGTTATCATATATACATTCTTATTGCATGATTGTTAAGTAACTAGATTACATATATTTATATTCCTTTTATCGTAAGCTTTTATTTGACCTATTGACTACTATCATGCAACTTACTATTCCTAAATTATTCCCGATTCATTCGTCACTGTCTCTCATAGTCAGTTTTTGGCTTGATCCAGTTAAATAGTTTTTTTTAATAATATATATTTTATGGTATAACCTGGTCTGGTTTGCTTGCATATGAACCAAGTATGTCTGAAATATATGATTCATATACTGGTAGTTGATATTGGTGTTCTGAACTCAACAGGCAGGGCTAAACGAGAACTACCAATAAGGACTCTAGGCTGCTCATCATTGATTTGACACAGTGCTGAGATTGTATAAGTCGTGTTTTGATTGGCAATTTAGTCACGTGATAGTTAACAGGCCACAAGACAATAAATTGCTCTCGAGCTACCCTCTAGTTGCCTACTTTTAGCAAGCACTGTGAATAGAATGTCAACATATACTTCCTGAGTCTTAATGAACTCAAAAAAGCCATAGTTAGTCTAAAGTGAGGGCGAGTGGCAGGTCCTGATAGATTAACCCTGGAGTCCTTTAAAGTTGGTGGTCCAGTTTTATCTGTCGAATTGACTGAGATATTTGCAAGAGTATTGAAACTATATATAGTCCCATTTGACTGGTCTCGACCACTAATCGTTCCATTCCCCTTGTGATTATTACTCAATCTGGCTAAAAGAATGTTTAAAATATTAGCTCGTGAAGAGCAAACTCAGAAAAACTAGGTTTGTTTTAGACCTGGAAATGGATCTATCGACCGGATATTCGGCAAGTTCTGGAACACTGATATACCTATCGACTCCCAACCACAGTTGTAATTTTTTGACTTTAAGACAGCCTCTGATCACGTAAATCGATAGGTTTAATGGCAGTGTGTCATTAAAAGGCGCATTAACGTAGTCCATTAACATTATACATTCTCTTTAATCAAACACTGCTGCTCATGCTAGAGCTAGAATCGCTAACCTCAGATGTTGTTTCTTTCCTGATTTCTATTTAACTTTGTCATAGACATTGTTTTAGGAATAACGCTTTTTCTCAGTGGCCTGTGATTGACTCGGTTGCCCATTTTGTTACTATTCTCAAGGATTTAGTCGTACACTTAAACGTAATAACTATTCATCTAATCCATATTCATTGAATAATCTAACAAATCCAGTTAAGATTCAACTGAACTAACTGAAGTTAAGACAGGTAAGAAAAAGTCATCACCTTCCACTGTAATCGGTGTTTTTAGGTTTTTTCTCTATTTGTCAGTTCGAACCATAGTAATCTCTTATTATCTATTAATAATTTTACAGTTAAGCGTTAGCAAATATATGTAAATATGCCAAACAGGTGTTGATCTTTCATGTCATTATTCTCCTTATTATTTTACATAGATCTAACGAGTTTGCCAGACGACGTCATTGGGATCGCTTTTTACCTCATACAGTTCTTCTGCTCTCAGATTTGTAGGTATTTATGCTTTCTGATGGGTTTTGTAATTTTTGCATTGCATCTTGTAATATAACTGATTTTGTTTATCGGCTTGTAACACTGGGAACTAGACATAGAGATTGTAATTGGGGAAAAGCGATAATGTGGAATTACTAAGAGGAAAGTAAAAAATAAATATAAAAACCCACTGCAACCGATTTTGAAACATATTGCTTAAGATCACTAACCATTTTTTCCTATCATTTCTGATTATTATCATGTAGTTTACTCTTCCAAACACATTTCAAGCGAACAGTCAATAATCTCGCAATTTGATGAGTTACCTTTGTGCGGCTGGTTTAAACCTTCTTCCAACCTAAATGTTTGCTGGTCACCATCATCCTGTTTAGTATGTAAAGTTTTTAAAAATTATAGTCGAAGGATTCAAACGAAATAATTTCCTTCACCAACCAACGTAGTCATTCTGTTTCATGTTCTATGAATAGACAAATCTGACTCAAATAAAATCTAGTGTTAAAAACATTGTTGTTGGAGTGAACATTAAAGAGGGTTTTGTTAGTATTAACTGTTTATGTGACGCCATAAGAATCCATTCGTATTACTGTTTGCAATTAACTTTTTGTTTTTCTTTTTTTTCCTAAAAAAAAGTGAACATTTGTTATCTTACATTGTAAAAGATATCTTGATCGTTTGTTATATACATTAGTGATAATTAAACATAATCGACCAATAAGAAATAAATAAGGAGATTAGCAATTGTGTTTATTAAAAACTAAAATAAATAAAAAAAACTTTTGTAACATAATATCTTAAATCAACTTATTATCAATTGGATCACTTGTGAGGAAAAAGTCTTAAGAACAAAGCTTTTTGTAATTGTTTAGTGTATGTAATTCATTCGCTTACCTTATATGTCAAGGTATTAACCAAAATGGTTTACACTAGAAATTTGTATAATAAGAGGTACACTTAACGAAAAACTGTATTACGAAAAATGAAATCCAAGTCTACAATATATTTCAGTTTGTAGTTCATGAAATAAAAATAAATATCTATTTTTATGTTATCAATTAATCGTTAAGTACGAAAATAAATTGGTATTTAGTCAGTTTAAGATTATGATTTGTTTCGGCCTTCTTATAAACTCATGATTAATAGACAGTTGGTATTTTATATATCTGGAAATACTCATATTAATCACAGTTTTAATCTATGTTAGGATAAAACTGGATATACGTTTATCATACTATATAGTGCGATTGACTCATGACCATGATTGTCACTACAAATGGTAGACATTAGAGTAAGCTTTCTTGTCTCCCAACTATTCCGTTACTTTCTACTTCTTGTTTTCATTTTTTTTGCGCGCATATGTGTATGTATGAAACAGCATATTATCGTCACCTTTGTTCATCGAACATCTACGAAAACGTGGACTTCCGGTGAGTTTACTAAATTAATAAGTTATTTTAAACAAGAAAATATCTTCCAGTGTTCATGTAGGTGAATATTTCGTATCCATTCTATTCGGAAATCCATGTTTCTGTCTGATTCGATTCAACTTTTATTGTGAAATTTTAAACTATGATGGATAATGGCTATCAGTGGAATCCAAGACGTGCGTTTCGTTCTATTTGGAACTCATCAGCTGGATGTGCCAGCATCCCAGAGTTGATGTTTACTCAGGGACTCGAACCTAACACCATTCGCTTCAACCGCCATCGCGTTATCCACTTACCTACTGGGTCCTGATAGCCATCTGTTTGTGCAATCGGTTGAAGTTTAAATTCACTTGATATTTTTTGCTTGTATCTTCCCATCGTTGATGCAGGTACATCTAGCTGACGGATCCCAAATAGGACGAAACGCGCTTCCTGGATTCCACTGTTAACCGCCATCCATCTTTGCCTATAAAGCTTGTGACTTAAGGCAATATCGAGGCAGTTCGCACAAGGTGCATATATGCCAACAAGAGACTGATCAATTACAGTCCTAAACAACAATGAGAAGATACAAGCTAATAATACCTTTTTTAATTCCATTATGTATAAAAATTCATCAAGAGGTAATGTGATCACTATTAATTTTTAACTATTTTCAAATTTTACCACCCACGGCTGTCAAAAGGAAGACTAATTACCAATTTTTCATATCATAGATGATTTATGATAGAAACGATTATCCCGTTTTGTATCTTGAATAACAGAACTTTTACTCCAATCAATGCTAAGCAAATTTCAATAAAACTATCTACTGATTGTCATAAAAACTAATTGTGTACATTTTTTAAAAGATCGGAATACGTTTTATGTATACACTTACTAAAGTTCTCCGCACATTCTCATATTGTAATCGTTTGCAATGACACAAGTGCAGCCACTCTTTGTGTTCTCCCAAATTCTAATCTTCTGAATTATTCATGTCCCTTTTTTTCTCTTTCTAAATTTATTTCACTGTATTATACTCCTTGAATAACATTTTCAAGCCCTAATGTTTCTGATTACTGCTTATACTCTTACCACCTCTACCACTACGGAATTTGAATCGACAACTGCATTTCTGTGCTAATGCGGTATGATACGGCAACTCGAACTGATGCACGTACGTACGAAATTCCACGTTGTTACTGACCGACTGATATTATTTTACACCAAACTCCTATAAACTTAATTCATCTATCAAGTACAAGCGGGTTAATATATCTGGTTTTAAGTCACAGTTTAGCTATATGAAAGCTACTGATATTACCCAGCTAACTAAATCGAAAGTTGACGTTGAGGTTTTTAACTTGTGCGTTGATTATTGAAAGTTGGATTATTTAACTAATAATAAGCTATATCTTTACTACTACTGGTAAATATTTAATAAGCTGAACTAATGTATATTTTCAAATCAGTAATTGCAAAATACACTATGCTAAATGTAAAGTATTTACACAATATTATTAAGATAAACAGACATCATCAATATAGAGACTGGCACAAATGTATGTTGACCTAAGTTGCCATACCACATTAGCATGACAAAATAAACAAAGGGAACTAACCGTATGAAATGAAATTAAAAATTAGACCTAAATAATCTAGCAGCAATAACAATTCAAAGAAAAACCGAACGTTGAAAAGATAAAATGGAAAGGCATGTATACAGAAGTACTGGAGTTCAATATCTAGAGGAAAATATACGGTAGATAATAAAAATTTGTGATCACGGGACACTTGATTGATATGATTAAAAACCATTTTCCGGTAAACGTATTTACTATTTTTTATACTCGATTATCGTTGAACAACCGATTGAATGGGACTCACCACTATACATCAACTTGATTGATTATGAGAAGGCATTTGACAGTGTGGATAGGAGGACCTTATGGAAACTTCTTCAACACTGTACTGTATTTGAGAGAATCGTCAACATCATCCGGAATTCATACGACGGTCCACAGTGCAGAGTCTTGCATGGGGGGGGGCAGCTGACAGACGCTTTCCAAGTGAGGACCGGGGTCAAACAAGGCTGCCTACTCTCCTTCTTCTGGTAGTTGGTTGGATTATGAAGACCACCTCCACACCTAACGGGAAGCACGGAACACAATGGACGGGTTGGATACAGCTGACGATTTGAATTTCGCAGATAACCTTACCCTTTTATCCCATGCACACGAAAAAATGCAGATAAAGACAATTAGTGTGGAGGCAGCTTCTGCATCAGTAGGCTTCAACATGCACGAGGGAAAAGGCAAGATCCTCAAATTCAACACAAGGAACACCAACCTAATCACGCTTGGTGAAGAATCTCTGAAAGAGGTGGAGAGTTTCACGTACCTGGGCAGCACCATCGATGGACAAGGAGGATCTGATGACAACACACAGTACAGGATTAGCAAAGTAAGGGCAGAGTTCCTGCGATTGAGGAGCCAACACCAAGATCAGAATCTTCAATACGAACGTCAAGACGGTTCTAATGTACGGAGCTGAAACTTGGAAAAATACTACAGCTATCATCGGAAAGTAAAAAGTATTTAAAAAGAATTATCTGCGCAAGATGCTCAATGTCCGTTGCTCGGATACCATCAGCAACAGTCTACTGTGGGAAAGAACAAACCAGCTTCCAGATTAAGAGGAAAAACGATGGAGGTGGATAGGACACTGCGAAAGTCAACGTAGTGCATTACGAGGCCAGTCCTAACTTAAAGTCTTCAAAGCAAAAGGAGAAGAGGAATACCAAGTAACACATTTCGTCAGAAATCAGAGGCAGACATTAAAGGAACGAATAGCACTTAGAAACAACCGGAAAGGAGAGCCCAGAACAAGGTCGTTTGGACAATCGTGATTGGTAGTCTATGCTCTTCCACGAGGGGTAACAGGCGTAAGTAAGTAAGAGGTAGTAACAACATTAGTGATAATGTAAAAGATTGGGCATCGGAGCTACGATTATGGAATAAAGAATGAAACTTTTTTAAATATACATTCGTAAACTTATTCGATTTAAGTTGGTTTTTTACAGTAGAGTTAGATTATGTGTTTACTTACTAACTATGGCAAATTTGTTGGATCAGACGTTCACTATATATATATATTTTTTAAATGGCCAACAAATACATTCACTGCAGTGAATGTCATGTGGATTAAGCATTATTTGGCACCAATATATTAGAGTTATGTGGTATGTAACGTTAATTTGTAACATTTTAATAATTCTATAACTTCGACTGACCTCTGTTTACTTTTGCCAGTCGTTGTTTATTTCGTAATCAATATAAGAATTTATTATTTTCATTTGATATTTTAAAGCTCGTTTAGCTTTTGGCCATTTACGTCACCAGTGGTGTAGGCAGAATATCTGTCTACCAATTAGGGGGCGAATATACTGCTCAGCAGTTCTTTCTCTTCTGCACTACGAATGCAAAACGTGGCCATTAAGAGTAGTAGATACTCGTAAACTACTAGTATTTGACCACAAATGTCTTAGAAATATTGCTTGCATCTGCCGAAATCACTGGGTAGGTAGTAGTGAGGTTAGACGCAGGGTATTAGGGAATGATGGTAAAGCAGTCGGTGAGTTTGTATATCTTCATCGTCTGGAATGGTTAGGTCACGTGTTACGTATGCCTAAACATCGATTACCACGACGCGCAATGTTGACTAGTGTTGAAAACAGTTGGAAGAAAGTTGAGGGCGGCCTAATCGAAACGTGGCACCGGTCCATAAAGTCACTAAACTCTAGTCTGAGTCATGATGGCGTTGGTGTATACACTATTTGTCTTCCTTTAAACCGTGAGATTAAAATCGCTTTATACGTTTCTTTCTACGAAGTAATTCTTTCTTCCTGTACTGTATTCCTTATACACAATCTTTCTTTTATATATTATAACCATTGAATTAACTCTATCTATGAATTTGTTGTTCACCTTGTTGTGTTAATGAGGTGTGGCAACTTGGACCGATTCACATATGTGCCTGGTTCTACGTTGTAGCTGACTGACTGACTCCTAAATAGTGTTATATACTTCTTATGCCGATATTAGGTGCACACACCACAATTCAGATGAATCCACATGAAGAATTTCACAAAGGACAAGAATAAGTTGTGTATAAATTCTATGTACTACGTGATTTGCGAACCCAGTTTGTGCATATTGCCTTTGCGAGTCTAGGTTAGTAAATGAAACTACTATTAATCCTCGATACATTTCTGGAATCATTATTATTTGAAATTTTCGAAAAAACAACCTCCAAAGCACCCGTGTAAGAAGTCATTAAAATTGTGTTTAATCTTCAACTTCCATGCCATTATATTTCGTCAGATGGAAATCGTTATAGGCTTGTTACTAAAGTGGGGTTTATTTTTTTTCTTTAGAACTTATAAAATTATTTCATCGTTTAAATTTATACTCATAGGACTATAATTTGACAACTTATTTCTGTTCAGCATCCACTTAACTGAAATATCACCTGGAGAATCTAGTCTTGTAAACAGTTTTATAAGCTATCTAGCTTTTCCATGTCAGTTGAACAATTCTGAAAGTGCAACACTTTTAAAGTGGCCGTTTCACTTTCAAAGTAATTAGTCATTAACACATTACAAAGTAAAATGAAGCTTGACTAAGCCTTATTTTCTCCCGTTTCACCTGTAAGATTTTCAATAGTAAGCGAATGTTTAAGCAGTATGAAATTCGTTTGTTTACTTCCCAAAACTACATTTTTTAAAACTAGTGTTTTGGCTGTATTTTTTTATTGAAAAAAAACGACTTAGAAACTATTTGTAAGTCATCATACTTATGATATGCTTAGAACACCTGTATATTCCGTATTACTTGTTCGAAAGTTCTGTCTCTTAATTTTCTTATTGATATTTTCTCTACAAGGTATTCTTCTGGGTGTGTAACAATGAAGAGGATATGGAGAAAGCTTTTGAACTTGGAGCTTCAGGAGTAATGACAGACTATCCCAGAAAACTAACCGAATTCCTGAAGAAGCATCCTGAGTATCCAAAAGTTTTTTAATTCATTTAACATCCTCGCTTTAATAAAACATTGGACTTTATTTCTGTTCATATCCTATGTCTTATGAATTTCTGATTTGAATTAAACGTGTTTATTTTGTAAATGACGTTGAATTTATATGAACATTAGTCATTTTCATTATTTTACGATCGGAACACTTCACTTCGTAAATAATAACCACGAGTTTCACAGGCCTAAGAATACTTCATGTTGTCGATGCATAAACCATGACTTTTGTTTTTAATGGTATTGAAGGTCAACAACACTACACTTCGACATTCTCGATGTAAATTTTGCAGGTAGAAACTCAGAAGTAAATCTTAATGTTTGCTAGTTAATTTAGATAGTAGGTTAAAAATGTCTTACAGAAGGACGGTGTTACATTATATTAAAAGCTACTGAATCGTTAATTTATCTGGTTTGTCTTATTTTCTTCACGAATTACTAGTTGTGGATTTACGCTCCAACTAGAATAGATAGACAAGACTATCATTTAGCTGTTGTCTTTGATTCTACTTCCCGTTCAGTCATTGCTGACCACCTGTGTACTTCATAGCAGTGATTGATTATATCGTTCTTAGTTAGTAGGCTATTACTACAGCCAGGAAACGGATATTTGTTTAGGGAGTTGTTTTTATTTATTCTGGTTTCAGTTTTAGGTACATTGTGTTGTAGATGACAAGACTGAATATGTTTATTAAGTCAGTCCAAAGTCTTCGGTAGTAGCTTTGATTTGGTGGTTATTTCCATAACGTCTGTACATTTCGTTATTTGTGGCACACATTCTATTGCATGGTTGCACTTTCTACCTGACTTAGAGTGTATTAATTTTGAAGTAAACTATTTAATATATTTGGATTGAGGATGCTACAGATATTCGGAGTTTGACAACACTTTAACAAGTAAAACCTAATACAAATCGTACCCACCAAGTGAAATCAAAAGACAACAGCGGGGAGGTTTGAAGGTATATATGATAGGCTACCAATATATCGAGGATCGTCTACTCTGGCTAGCGAATGCAGGGGAAGTTGAGCACGGCGTTCCTTCTCTTGACCTGGTACGGATGCATAACCAAGCGCCTTCAGGTTGGTGAGTTCATTAAAACTAATATGGTCAGCATCCAATGTCGAAAACTTACAGAGTTGTTTATTCTGGGGATTTATTTACCGCTACTCCCCTCCTTGTGGGGTAGTGATGACCCTAAGACGTGGCCAGCCAGAAGTTTAGACCCAACGAGTTTGTTGTTGGTGAACACTCTTCTGGTAGCTTGCTAGGTTTAGCAGCGTTTAGTTGTCTTTCCTGCATCTCCTTACGCTGCTCCACTGCCTTGTGGATGAGACCTTTAGTTCGAAGGCTCGGGGAGTTGCCACCATGAAAACCACCTGCTTCGGTTTGGGCAACCGGGCAGTATCACAGCCCTCACACATATCGAATGAGGTTTGTGTGGCACTTATGTATTTGGTGCCTCATTGTACCAATATCTATGTGTTAATATAAATAAATAATAGTGCAGTCAAACACCGGAAAATTTCAGATTCGGACTGGCGTCCGTGTTCTGTAGTGATGGTTGAAGGAGAGCCGAAGTTTGCTACCCATCGTTCGACGAATGCGCGAGCCACGGCTTCAGCAGTAACGTCCTTGATAGGTACTGCTTCTGGCCATTGAGTGAAACGGTCTACGCAGGTTAAAAATATAATAGTATCCATTTGAAGCTAGTAAAGGTCCTACCAAATCAAGATGAACACGGTCAAAACAAGCGTCAGGAGTTTGGATGGAGCCTAAGGGACATTTGTTATGTCTAATAATATTAGATTTCTGGCAGCTTACACAGGAGGGCGCCCATTCCCTCGCGCTCCTAATTCATACCAGGTCATCAAAATCGTTCTGCCATGAGCTTGATTGTTGCACGAACACCTTGATCAGAAAGTTTGTGCAACGTATTTAAGACGTTGTGCCGGTAATATTTCGGCATGACTAGGCGATCCCTACATATTGATGTGTCACAAAGTAAGGTCTCCTTACCTGTTCCCATCTGTTTAATACGCAGTTTAAGGGTTGTTGAGGATAACACGCGCTGAAGATCAGTGCCTTCTTTCTGAATTTGGGCGACAAATGTGTATTCCGCGTTAGGTGCTGACCTCGAAGTGTGACTTCGGATTAAGCTGGTTCGTCACGCCATTCCCGTCTAACTCGAGTAGCCCCCAAGCATTCGACAGATCATCCACGTTGGTGAACTACAATTTCCCCTATTTGAATACGTGCTCAATCCTGTGTCCCACATTTTACAAGTGACGACTTCAATATAATGTTGACGAAATGTCCAGTATATAGTTCAGAAATGATTAGTATGTATAAAGCATGCTAAATGCCATCAAAATAATACGCTCTCTGTGAATAATTATAACAAAATGTTAGAAAGAATATGGAATACCATGTGGCTGAAATAACAAAAATCAGTTTAACTTCTAGTGCAAAAGGATAATACGTTATATCTTCTACTATTTATCCTGTACGTCAGTGGATGACGGAGACTGTATAAAACATTGGCACTCCTGAGTTCAGGCGATATCAGTCTGATTAGTCTGCCTGATTATATCAATCTTCAAGTTTGTTTGAATAAATGGGTTAGATAGTTCACAAGTTGATATTCCGAGATTAAGTCTGAAAAGTATGTGCTAATCACTTAAAGAATGCTGGTCGGCGATTTATGCTCCATTTGGAGTAACAGGCATTACTAAGTAATCTATATCATATATTGCACTAATCGCCAGCATATCATCAATGGAATACCATTTACAAAGTTCCTGGGATAGGAAGATCTACGAGTAAATACTGAATTCCAAAGCAACTGGTGCTGCAGATTTTCACGTATTTTGGAAACTTCATCAAAATTTCATAGGTTTTGAATAATATGCGGTTTAGATCTTTCAATCCACACATGTGTAACGCTTTTTCGACCAGGGATGCCACAGTCAGTCAAACCAGAATTGAGGAATAAAGTGTTCCGAAAGTACGTTTGGAAAAGGGTCGACACGCCGAGACCTTTCTAGTTTGATGAGAAACACGGCGTAACCAATGGCTATATGAAGCAGAGAGTTAACTAAAAAATTCATCTAGAATGTACTCAATGAAACTGGGAGGTCAACATCAGTACCAAATACATCCTGAAGCATGTATTTCACAGATCTATTTACCGCTACAGATTGCTTAATTTATGATTACTAAGGGAGTGATGGGTCCTTTCAAACTCTTTTACAACGCATTAGCTTCAATCCTGTATGTCTTCGTAGAAAGCGAAGTGACCGTTTATTGGTTGTCAGTAACTTTGGTAATTATTTCAATGTTATATCCTTGCTTATTTTCGCATTAAAAACTTCCAAAGAAATCGTAGATTGTTTACAATTAGGCGATCGAATAAACCCAGGGTGGAATTCCATCTTTCTTAGATAGTGAAACGGTCTAACCTAATTATCACTATCGTCCACTCTATTGGGCACCCTCAAGGAGAGACGGATTGTCACTGGATGCTGAGCTCCAATGGAAGCCGCACTTCCTACAAACTTTATTTCTGAAAACTAAATAAAGAAAACACAACAATTGATTTCGAAAACGATAATCACAAGTTTTGAACTCTATAAGTTACCAAATAAGTCCTTCTCGTATTTTTATTAGAATTTTTTGTTTTCCGTACACTTGTTTTGCTACACACAATGAACACGTTTGAGTAGTACGTTACCATGTGGGTTTGCATAATTGCAATGATTTTTGTTTCTAAAAATATACAGGAACACTACCAGTAATGCCCACAGTCACAGTCCTATGAAAGACGTTTATCTTGGAACGGAATGCGGCAAGATAGCTGAAGTTAATGAGTCGATCATTGGAAGGCGAATAGTACATGAAAAAAACTTTGGGACCATCTGTTATGTCGGTGAGTTGCCGAGATCGAATGGGTCTTGGCTTGGAGTTGATTGGGATGACCAATCGCGTGGCAGACATGATGGGACTTACGATGGTGTCCGGTATTTTCAGGCTAAATGTCCCACTTCCGGTTCATTTGTGAGGTGAGTAATAATATTTATTGATAAAAAGAAAGCTGTTGCCTTAAGCAGCAAAAAGAAAAGCAAAAATCCATAACTTCAAAGCGGTCTGTCATTAAAAGTGCTAAAATTAAGGCACAGTCCAAACGTGACTAATAAATAATGTTTAGTCCGAGTGGGATCAGAAGTTTATGTTAGGTACTTCGGTTGTGACACTATACTATCCAATATGTTAATGATCCACGAACTGGTTCTAGTCTCCTTCTGGTTCGGTTTATTGTTTAGTGTGTTATCATTCACGATACATATATGCACTCCCAAAGGGTCTAGGTATGTAAGTGCACAGAATATTGGAGTTGGCTTTAAATGTCTAACTTTTGTTTCGCCGACCTATAATCTCTACCTATGAAATCTGCTGAAATCACGAATGCAAAACGTGGCCATTAAGAGTAGTAGATACTCGTAAACTACTAGTATTTGACCACAAATGTCTTAGAAATATTGCTTGCATCTGCCGAAATCACTGGGTAGGTAGTAGTGAGGTTAGACGCAGGGTATTAGGGAATGATGGTAAAGCAGTCGGTGAGTTTGTATATCTTCATCGTCTGGAATGGTTAGGTCACGTGTTACGTATGCCTAAACATCGATTACCACGACGCGCAATGTTGACTAGTGTTGAAAACAGTTGGAAGAAAGTTGAGGGCGGCCTAATCGAAACGTGGCACCGGTCCATAAAGTCACTAAACTCTAGTCTGAGTCATGATGGCAGATGCAGACTACTTGGTTGGGGTCCGTGTGACTATCGTAACCAATGGTTGGAGACTGGGTGACATGGCTCAGAATCGATCACAATGGCGTTGGTGTATACTCTATTTGTCTTCCTTTAAACCGTGAGATTAAAACCGCTTTATACGTTTCTTTCTACGAAGTAATTCTTTCTTCCTTATTGTATTTGTTTATTTATTTATTTTAACACATATTGGTACAAAAAGGCACCAAATACGTATGTGCCACACGAATCTCACTCGATATGTGTGAGGGCTGTGATACTGCTGGGTGCCCAGACAGAAGCAGGTGGCTTTCTTAGGGGGCTGCACCCCGAGCCTTTGACCTAAAGGTCTAACCCACAAGTCAATGGAGCATCGTGAGGAGATTCAGTCCCATGGTAGCCGGTGACCAACAATTGGTTCATACTCCATTTGTTCCCGCAGGATAGTGGAGCCCATGTGCACCATTGATATGGAATCCGGTTAAAGCGCCGGACATTCGCTTTTAGTCCTCTCATTTTCGTAAACAACACCCCGGCTACGAGAATGCAATGAATAGGACTTCCCTGGCAGAGGTTGTATACGCGTGGCCGTGTGAGAGTATTTCGAGTGGGAAGGCGTACCCACCCCACTCTCGGCCATACCAGGGCATTTGGGGGCTGTGCTGTATTCCTTATACACAATCTTTTATATATTATTACCATTAAATTAACTACTACTATGAATTTGTTTTTCACCTTGTTGTGCTAGTGAGGTATGGTTACTAAGACCGATGCACATACATGCCTGGTCCTGCGTTGTAGCTGACTTTGCCTCTTCCGAAAGTATATTCCTGTAAATCGTGTTGATTGAAGTGGTCATAAAGAATTCTCGATATATTGTACCGGTTGTCCATGATCGATATTACTTTTTAAGAAGATTAGTACAATCAAACTAAACTTTATAATAGATATGGTTCAAAAAATATCAACCTGCAGACTTGGAATACGCAGTTGATACTGTTCTGTCTGATGAAAGCACTGACAAAATACAGAGTCTCCCAAACGCCTTAAGCAACAATGTATTCATGTTTGGGTTGTGATTCTCCACCTCCAAATGCAAAATGTTGCTTTAGGATTGGCGTGCATCAGCGACTGAATTTACGGTAGGGACTGACGTAGTTGAACGCACCAGTTGCTTTACCTATCTTGGGTATTTCATCACTCCTGATAGTCTGATGGCTGACAACATCTTGGCACAGATTTAGAAAGTCCGACTGACTTTTACCAACTCTCGTCACTTTTGGTGCAGGCGAAATATCCGCCTGTCAACCAAAGAACGAGTTTACTGTGCAACAGTTTGCTCCATTCTACATTATGTATTTGGAACGTAGCGATTAAAAATAGGGGATATTCTCAAGTTGCTATTGTTCCATGATAGGTATCTTCCGAGCACTGCCCGTGTATTTTGAGACCACAGGGTAAGCCATGCCTGGGTTGGGAATGGAGTACTAGGTAGGGACGGTAAATCGATTGGTGAGGTATTAACGTTTCATCAACTGAGCTGGTTGAGACATGTGTTATGTATTCCCAACGACCATCTGCTTTGACTGGCGATGTTGTGTGGTGTAGGAGTAGACTGGAAGAGAGCTAGGGGCGACCAAACCAAAACATGGCATCAGTTCATGGAGTCGTTGACAATTGAACTGAGCCATATTAATAGGTGTAGAATACCTGGTTGAGGTTTGTGTGAGTATCTGAACGAGTTGTTAGAGTTTTTGAATGACATGGCTCAAAATAGTTTGCAATGGCACAGACACCCATTAGCCGTTTTCCTCCAAATTCTAGCTTATGAATTCCTTATAATCTTTTTGATTTCACTAATTTTTTGCATCGTAGGTTTGATGCCTAACCTTTCCCATTATCAAAACCGAAGTAACTTCTGAATTTCAGTCATACACCTTACTAATTAAATATTGACTACTTGTACAATTGAATAATATCCGCATCATATCATCGATTTCGTGCTATTAATTCCTCCCAGGTTTTTTTATCTCAGTCTTTTATAGTTTACTTTTTGATCTTTAATCTAGGTATTTGAGTATTTGTATAGTGAACTAGGGATATAATCATACTTTCGGTTTGAACAGTTGAATAATATAGTAATCCCTGATACGGTAAAGATAAATAACAACATTTCGCTTCTTTATAAATCATAAAGATGACTTCAGTTCATGTCTATTTTTTGTTATTTTCCGTACACAGTCATGTTATAACTTATTTCGTTCTACTTCATGTCTTAATTTCAACTCGATAAACCCCGTTTATCCTATCCAATCATGCTTTTAGGCCTTCAAAGGTGTCATTGGGTACCAGTCTAGAGGAAGCTCTCGTATATAGATATGCCGTCTGCACAACTTGTCAACTGGAAATCCAGACTTCTTTGCGATCACGGGAAAAGCCCACAGGTAGTTCTCATAATATCCTCGTTCATGAATGCACCCAACTTGGTCATCTAAACAGTTACCTTGGTAGTACTGCGGAGGAAGCTGAATACTTTGGTACTCACGGATACCCAAAAGACACATTACGTGTCGAACTTTACACTAATCCTGGGACTTACCATCAATCGACTTCTCATGACGAATTATGTGGAGCAGATGCAGCCAAAAGTTGTCTCAGCCGATTAAATAGTGTTAGTTTGTCTTCTGTGCCCGTATATCGTGCACTATATGGAAAAAGTGACTTTTTCCCTGATCGACAACCTGAATACTCACCACTTTGGCCATCATCTGGAGGCTGTCTCGACCAGTTTTTATCCAGTTTATGCGATCTGGAAATGAGCAATTGTCTGTTGTCAAAGTGGACAGAAATTGCTGAGGTGTGTTTTGATTTCATTAACACTTTGTTCATTCTTTCCTTCACAAAAGTTAACTGTGTTTATTTATCTTATTAGATTTGTATTCAAATTCCGTGGTTAAAATCCTTGAATGTCAGTAACAACCGCATTCGTCTACCTGTTTCTCCAAAAGAAGCTCATGATAAACAAAAAGAAAATGAATGTCTGGAATCTAGACTTTTATATGACATATATTCGGACCCTGTCCTAAGTGAACGGTTGTGTTCGAACGCTTTTCCCCAGTTGTCGCAACTTACTTTAGTCAAATGCTCACTCCTAAATTGGAAAAGTATTAGGAGAATATTATGTTGGATGCCATCCTTACAGTCGTTATCTCTAGCTTACAATAATGTAAGTAAATGTTTTCCTTGTGCTTTACTTATTCAAGCGATTAATTGTAATATATATTGTTCATTTAGCCTCAAGTATTAAATCCCTTCAACAGTGTTAATGTGTATTTAGACAGACTATTCAACTTAACAAATTTTGTCTCTGCAGTTTGTTTTAAAGATAGCTTCTAGAGTGACTTAAGGGTTTTAATTTCTAATTTAATCAAATCCTAACGACTTTTTGTTACGTCAATCGTCATTCAACTTTCAGAAATTCCTAAGATTCGGCTTCACCTAATATTTTATTTTTGTGTAGTTACACTGATTTCTATATTGTTGACAAAGCCTTACGATTTCATGTTAACTTATTTATCAGTGTATTTTCGAAAGTTCATCTGCTTATGTAATTTCAACCACTGACCTGACCGTCAACATAAGATTTTGCAACAAAGAAAATCATTCTATAATATGCCTCGAATAGTAAAAGTATCAATAATGAACCACATAAATTCCAGTAAAATGGTAATATTTCAATTCCGAATTCTGTATTTCGATAAGGACCGTTACTATCTCCCAGTCTAATACATGTGCAAATTATGGTAAAGAAATCCCTATATTACTAGAAGACTTTGAACAACTTTGATGTTTTGATGTAAATTTAAGTCTTAAGAAGCAGTTGTAAACTAATAACCTGCAAATGATCATAAAAAGTAATTGTCAGATTTGTTTTTATATTCCCTGCATCTACATCTAGGTAACGTGCTAAAATAACCGCCCATAAACCGTCTACTTTAATGTACAGTATGAAAATAGGTATTAAGTTTCATGGACTTTAAAATAAAGTTGGTATTGAGCATTTCTTTATTCTATAAGCGTGGTCACAAACCCTGATAAAAAAGTCTTTGAGATCCGCCACTTTGTTGCTCTAAAGTTTTGTGTTTCTTTAAACTAAACAACATCCAGTCATCGTGTGTTTATGAAATGTTTGATTACATTTTAGCTGGGCAATCCCCCAATTGACTGGGAAGAAAATGCTATTGAAGTTTTCCAAAAGTTGACTGAATTAGACTTAACTCACATAAATCTAACGTCCGCTCATCAGTTATTTGCCCTTATTGGAGCCTCCAAATGTCTGAACAGCCTGTTGTTAAATTACAACGAGATAGCAGACATTCCAAATCTAAATGATCATTCTAAGCACATCTGCCAAATACATGTACACGATAAAGATAGTTCACATCTGTTTCGAAACCTTAACACTCTTGGGTTAAAGAACAACTTATTCACAAATTGGAATTTCGTTAATCAATTACTGCATTTGTCCAAATTGGATCATTTGATGGTATCAGGATGCCCAGTTTTCGAAAACTCTGTCAGGTAAGCTAATCTAGTCAAGTCTTTTCTACTAGAATTATAAAACTATCTGGTTTGTTTTTACTTACATAACATTTTAGCATTGAACAAAAAACTACTGTGGTTAGACTTAAGCTGCATTATTTTTTCTCATACATTCAAACAATCAGGTTAGGATTGAAAACTTTACTCATAAATAGTTAAAAATATACTACCAGAACTGTAGTTATTTTACGGTTTATCGCCCAGTTACGTTTCGACTACAATTTTTAATGGATGATCAGGTAGTGAACGAGTCGTCCATATTTTTATGAAACTTCAGCATACAGTTACCGTCTAATATGAAAGAATTGAATTTATTTCCATACGTTTAACAGTTCTAAATCCTGTCGTTCATAAATTCCATAAACACTAGTTTTAATTGTTATTTAACAAAGTATATACGCATTAATAAATAATGATACACCTTTTCCAAAACAACTTAATGGTTATTACAACTTGTTCACCATTAAGTTGTTTACAGCACTTCATTGTAAAATAAATATTCCTTTACATATTTCACTATTTAAAATCGCTTAATGATCTTCATAGAAATTATAATGTGAAATCCTGTTCTATTTAAAAAGCGGCCATATTTGGAGTTTGCCTGAATCCGTAATCATTTAAGTCTCAAGTTACTCCGTAAAATAAAAACTTAATAGCTTCTAGTTGTATCAAATATCCATATTGTTCAATCGCTTAGTAACTAGTATTTACAAAATACTTGGTTCAGTGAGGTGTAAAAAAGTCCGTCACACAAATTGGTCTGATAATTTCTCTTAAAAGTAAGTGAAGAATGGAAGCATAACAAGAAGCGAATCCAATTAAAAACAAACCAAAATAGATCTCATCCTCGCTAATAAATATTTTTCTGTTTTTCGAAAAACAGAGGAGATAACTATAACTGGATCACCATCGTCTTCTATATTGACCTGTTTGGAAGTGGCTTTCGTTACTAAGAATCACATGCTATTTCTTACTTCACCTAGGCGCTCGTCACCAACAAATTATTACTTCTAAGAATTGCTTACCCATTGTTGTGGGCAAACGTATGCAATTTCTCTGAGATGAGTTTAATCGTGGTTTAAAATACTCATTTCTTTGAAATTAAAGTTCACAAGCATAGAGCTGAATTGGTAGTGTAGTGAACGAAGACATGTTGGGGATGACCAATTTATTGTTTAATAGAAAATTGCAGTGTCTTGGTAAATTATGGAAACCATACATTATATACATTATTTGCACATCATTCACTTTTTCTTTATATGCTTTATGATCCTTTCAATTCTGTTGTTACTATAATTGCTCTTTGTTGATATTCCTGTTCGCTTCAACTCAACCTTCTGTTGATAAGCATTCCACTTCTGTCTGATGTTACATACTACTTATACCAGTCAACATATTGTCCAATTGGGCCTTAATGGCCAGTTTAACGTTATAACTTCTTCAATGGTAATTTAGATCGCTCTACGGTTGCTTTCGTTACGTGTGGATGAATCTGGTTTGTCATACCAGCACTTATGCAACTATTAGTTAGAGTGCACTCGACCATTCCTTACGCCTCGCGAACAGGAGTGAATCCAAGCCCAGCTTCCTTCTAATCCTGTGGAAGAACTGTACACTTCGATTATCCAAGTGCATCTATTATGGGTTAGTGGTCATCAAGTGATTGAATGTAATTCAGGTACCCTGCATCCAATCGCACAACAAGATGGTAACACCCGCACACTCAGTGTCAAAAATTACTCTTCTGGGTAACGGATTGACACCACCACATCTTAATCTCCTCAATTTTTTCCTGAATTCCATTAATGGTGAGATTGGATAATCCCGACCAGCTCCATCGCTGATTTGAAAAAGTGAAAAAAAGTTGTGTTACTATTCTATCTGAAATGAATGTCTTTGTCCGGGATTATCTAAATGTTGGTAGATTTATCAAATGCAATTACTTTCAGTAAGCTGTTCCAGAATACAGCCCTATGCAACAAATCGTATTTAGAGGCAATATCTACAAACGTAACAGCTGGCTTCTATTTGTTCTCTATCTCCATATTTCCTCACTCTTTTTTTATTTTACAAACAATTTATATAGTCACCCATCAATTCTGTATAAAGTTCATTACTGGTTTGTTGTTATTCGTCTAGTTTCACTTGTCTATTGTAAGGCTGTAAAGTTTCATGAAATCTTAGCTTCATAATAAGAAAGGTGATTTCACATTTGTTCACCCATCGTTTACTATTGTAGTATTAGTATTTCAACCGGTAATAAATGGGTTTTGTTCTCATAACACTTTTTTATATGTTATTTCTGTTTTAGTATAGAAACCGCTCGTCAGGAAGTCATTGCTCGTTTGCCAAATCTTAAAATGTTAGACCGTGTTGAGATTACTCCTGAAGAGCGCCGCGGATCTGAATTGGACTACTTAAAACGTTACGGAGCTAGCTGGCTAAACTGTTGTAAAAGTGATCAAAATAGTAAGCAAAATAACGATGTTAAACTTTTGGAGGAATTCTACAAATTGCATCCTGTTTTCGCCAGACTTTGCGATAAACATGGAGCTCCTGAAATTGGAGAAACCAAGGTAGCATGTTATTATTTTTGACTTGTCCCCAGGTTGTTTTCTCTATGTGACAAAATAACTAAGTTGACCGCACAAAAATTAAGTGTGGGGGATAAATAAGATGAACTAGGCTAACTAGTTCAAAGATCATCGTCGTCCAAAATAAGGGGAGATCAATGAAATATAGGATAGTTTAGAAGCTTCAATAAACAACCAAACCGTTTAATTGTTCTGAGGTGTTTATGATAGTATCGAAATTGTATTTAGTGCCGAATTAAGTTGCAAGAAAATATGTTATTTCGCTTAGAATAAGGATGTAAATTCAAGGACATATGCAACTTTTATTCTTAAGTAATAATTCAGCTGTTTAAAATAACTCAATCGTGAATTACTGTCGATGTGTTTAAATTTAAAAGTTCTTCACTTCCCAGAGTAATGTATTGTTGTGGGAATTGTAAATCTTTTGCTTAAATATAAACTAAAGATCTAACACTGTTTAGTTATTTGATTACAGCATTGGTTTCAGAAGTTTCCGTTTGACTATGCGCATAATCAGTTTTCATTTTAAGCTACGTCACATACCTTATCTACTGAAATAACTTACCGATGATTGCATCACAAGACGTTTTCTATTAGAATATTTTAGCAACTATATGTTTTCTTTTTAATTTCCTTCCAAATCTCTTAGATATTTTTTCACTCAATGGGTACTTGAACCCCGCTTCACCTACTGAAAGCCTAAAGTAGATTCCAGGAACAACTAAGGTCACACTTCGGTAGTTCTAAAAACGAGGCTGACCTAGATGTTTCTTGGAAAAATATACAAACAGCAATGACATCTATTAGTGATTTGAACCATAAGGTTACAAAAAACCAGTTGATTTATTGTAAGTCTGGTCACAGTCACGGATCGTCCTAATATATAAGAAAGGATCAAAATCATCCTGTAATAACCATAGAGAGATTAGTTTGACCAATATAGCATCTAAAATGCTGGCCTCAATAAGTATCGGACGCCTAACTAAGACTCGTGAACTGCAAACACGAGAAAACCAGGCTAGCTTCAGACGTGGTCGTGACTGCATCGACCACATATTCATCATTCGTCAGGTTCTAGAACATAGGCATGCTTATCGGCGTCCGACAATGGTGGTCTTTCTTGACTTAAAAGCAGCATTTGACCCTGTAGACCAAGAGGTTCTGTAGCAGTGTGTCATTGAAAAGTGCACCACAGAAGTACATAAACATTATGAAGGCTCTTTACTCGAACACTACTAATCGAGTCAGAGCTTATGGCGAACTGTCATCTGATTTTGCAACCTCAAGTGGTGTCCGTCAAGGCTGTCCACTTTATCCATTTTTGTTTAACTTCACCATAGACATACTGATGGAAATAACGCTGGTCTACTGAATTTTCGGGCATTGATCTCCTACCAGAGGGTCCACTTATCGACTTAGAATACTCAGATGACATAGTCCTACTTGTTGAAGACGCTGATAAAATGCATAGTCTTTTGGTAGCACTGAGCAACAATGCCAGAATGTTTGGAATGCGCTTCTCTCCCTCTAAATGCAAGTTGTTGCTTCAGGACTGGTCTGCGTCAACGCCTGAACTAAGGATAGGTAGTGAAGTAGTCGAACGCGTTGACAACTTCACTTATCTTGGAAGTCTGATCAGCCCTAATGGGTTGGTGTCTGACGAAATCTCAGCATGGATTCGGAAAACTCGTTTGGCTTTTGCCAACCTATGTCACCAATAGCGTAGGCAGAATATCCGTCTATCAATTAAGGGGCGAATATACTGCGCGGCCGTTCGTTCTATTCTACATTACGGCTGCGAAATGTGACCATTAAGAATAGAAGATACTCGTGAGCTACTAGTTGGGGGCGGCCAAATCGAAACGTGGCATCAGTCCATGAAATCACTAAATTCTAGTCTGAGTCATGATGGCAGATGCAGACTACTTGGTTGGGGTCCGCGTGACTATCGTAACCAATGGTTGGAGACTGGGTGACATGGCTCAGAATCGATCACAATGGCGTTGGTGTATACTCTATTTGTCTTCCTTTAAACCGTGAGATTAAAACCGCTTTATACGTTTCTTTCTACGAAGTAATTCTTTCTTCCTGTACTGTATTCCTTATACACAATCTTTCTTTTATATATTATAACCATTGAATTAACTCTATCTATGAATTTGTTGTTCACCTTGTTGTGTTAATGAGGTGTGGCAACTTGGACCGATTCACATATGTGCCTGGTTCTACGTTGTAGCTGACTGAATGACCGTTTCACTTACATCGGTTTGATTAATAGGATACTATCATTAGCACTAAAAATATTCTGCTTTGTTTTCTTTGTATTATTTAATCTTGTGTTAATTTAATTTGTTTTGTCGTTGACTCTGAAGAAGCAGCTTACATTGTCACGAACCGTCGGAAATACAATATCTCTACTCGTTGGGCCACAACAGCGAAAAAATTGTTAAGTTTCTGCCCAATGCTCACTTTATTTCAAACTATCAAGTCCAACCTTGACGTTGATACATACATCAATGTCTCTGTACCTTTCTCTAGTTTCTATTGTTATCAGCCTTCAGACAATCTAAATTAATCTATTTTTATTATGATTTCCTGATTAAAGTTCTTTTTATTGCTACATCAGTATTTCCCAGGTTGGTTGTGTAGAGAAAATTGTCAATATTCCTGCATTATTGCACACAATAAACACTATATAATTGTAATTTATTATAAACGTGTCCTTATTTCTCTATGGGTTTGAACTGTGTCAAAGTAACTGAGCTGGAACACTTTCAATGACAGAGATCATTCATGAAAAAGTATGAACCAACCACTTGATTCATCTGTAATTGTTGTCCAAGTGTATCTACCTGAATCTATTTGTTAGTCTGATTATAGATATCAACGTCTGAGAGCAATATTAAGGTCATAAATAAGCAGTAAGATTTGATCGCTTTATTTTTTGTAAAGTCTCTGTTATCTTTGTTGTTTACATATCTATTTATCTAATTTTTAGCCAGTTAACCGCTCAATTAAAGCTGGTCTTCTATCTCTTATCTTTATATTACAACATAACAAGAACAATGGCGCAACAAACAAGCCTAGCAGTCGATCATCATCGCCAATGGATAAAAACGATCGAATTCAAAAACAAATACCTAGTCAAATGACTATTAACCATTTACGTATGATGATAAGACGATTGTTTTGTTTATCACCAAAAACACTGTTTGAATTATATGCACAAAGTGGAAGGCATCGTGGTATTGTTAACACTGAAATACCGTTGGATGTAGATACACGTGAAATAGGATTTTATAATTTAGAAAATGACGATTATATTTTTATACGAATATGACAATAGTGTTCTAGTCTTTCCTTCCTTGTATTTACTACTTGGTTATCTCTAGTATTTATCTATGTTGTATAATATATATCTTGATATTCTTAAAAATCAAGCTTGTATTTAATTATTTCCTATCCACTTACACTTTTATGAGTTCTGTTGTGTACATGACACATTGTTCCATCAACCAAGAAAGTGTAATTATGCGTAAACTTGAGATATTTTCTTTAAACTGACTGCTTGAGGCTACCAATTTTATCAAAGTTTGCTTTAAGCTTAGACTCGAATAATGTTGTTCAAGTAAACAGCCTTCATAAGGTTTATGTATTTTTGTGATACACCTTTCACTAAAAAGCGCTATCAAAAGAATTTCCAGACGTTCTTAATCATCCCTCTGTTTCAGAGCACAGTCTAACATAATCAATTGACGTATATCTGCTCGTCCATTTTTGAAATCAGTTTGATTTTCCCGAGTTTGCTGTTCAGGAACTTTATTTGAGATTTTGGTGATTTCAGACATTACTTTATTCAACTTGATTGTTCTGGCTACCGCGAGAGAATATCTTTCCTCTCTCTTAGATTGGGATCGGTCAAATGGGACTAGGCACAGGTGTCAGATTCTAACTAACTTCTAAAACTAAACAGCCATTCTTAAATACCTCGAGTTAATGTATAAGATCTTTTCCGCTCTTCACTTCTAGTTAGCTTTTGCCTCTTTAAGTTTACTAATAGTCGGAGGCTTATATATATTGTCTGTTTGCTCTACTAAAAATTACATTATATGACAAGTATTGCTACCAATCTCGAACCTAATTCTGCTGTGTTTCTCAACACTTGCTTAAATATGTATTAACATAATTGAGCAGCTAACTCGCACAGCACTTTATATTTTAAGTATGTTGTATAGTCTAACTGTTAGTTTACCTGACTGTAAATTTATATATTTAGGCAAGACCGGAAACAGTAATGTTCCAAACTAATTTCTCTCACTTGAAGTTGCTTGTTACTTAATGTTGTATGCATTATTTATTTTATTCATGGATGTCACCTTTGATGCATATATTTATTCACTGCAAAATCTAACACTAATTTTCAAACGTCAATTCATCTTAATCAATAATTGGTGAGACTATAGTTTATGGACGACCTTTGAGCGACGCCAAAGTGACCTTGAGAGTGTCTGCCTACTTACTAGGGCTAAATAAGGGTTATAAAGCTGTTTGAAGAATAAGAATTATGATTCACAGTTGAGGGTTAGGAATTAGATTTAAAGTTTTCTTCACGAACTGACATCAGCTTTAATGCCAAGACTATTTAGCCAAATCGATGAATGCTTTTCGCGCCAAAATCTAAGACTTGTTATCGTAAATCTGATTGGTTCGTCCATAGATCATAGTCTCATTAATTAAAGAGTTTCCAAACTAATGCATCTAATAGTTTTATTTACATGACAAATGGTTCAAATCCTTACCTCTTTGTTTTAGTAATATGTTCGTTCAATAATCTTAAAAATATCGTCTAACTAAGTGTTCATCAGTTGTGTCTTAAATGTAATCACTTTTCACAACAAATTTATTTAATGTATCAAATTATTAGTTAGTTCTGTTCAGCTCCATATTAACTTAATTAAAGCAATCTACTTGTGAATTGTGTATCATCAAAACTTACCATATAGGTTTTTTTGTTCATATTTCATTTCATCTTCGTAGGTTTAGTAGCATATTGTTAGTCTTTTCATTCCGTTGATTATAATAAGGGAGACATGCAAGATGACTCGTGCACCATTCAAACGTTCGCACACTTATGCAGGCCGGACAACAGATAGGTCTGGCTATGTATTTGAAAAGTCTTAATATCGACGTTTGTTGTCTATCCGAGACCTGTATTCAGGACTCTGGTGAAGTACTACAAATTCGCTCTCCATCTGTCGCTTCAAAAAGCTTGTTTTGCATGCTTTTATCCGGGGACTTTCTGGCATCTTCGTCTGGTCTTGCTGGCGTTGGTGCCGAACTAAGCGCTAGAGCTGAGGCAGCACTAATCGATTGAATCCCCATTAATAGTCGGTTATGTGCTGTTAGATTAGAAAGTTCCATAAAAGTGAAAAGAAATCGGCGTGAGAAACGATGTCTTTTCGTCATCTCCGCCTATGCCCCGACATATTGCAGCCCGGATGCAATCAAGGATGAGTTTTACCACCAGTTATCTGTTCTTCTCCAGAAAATGCGTTCGAGAGATATTGTAGTATTAGCCGAAGACTTGAATACTCAGGCCGGCCTCTAGGCGCAGAAGGGAGTCGTTTAGGTGGCCGATGGAGACTCGTTGGTCCCAGGACGGATAACGGGGACCGTCTACTGCAACTGTTCACGGACCACAACCAGTTTCTGGCTAGCACTAACTTTCGGCACAGTCATCGCCGATGTGCCACCTGGCGTCCTCCATCTGCATCTCAATCCTGGACACAGATTGATCACATCGCGATCAGCTACCGCTGGTGTGTTTGTGCACAAGACTGCTGCTCCTTTTGGAGTACCTGTCTGGACTCTGGTCATGCCCTACTCTGCTTCAATCTTACCTTACTTTTCAGTGACCGCCACCAACGGACTGATGTTAGCAAGTTGGTTGCATATAAGTATCGAACCGAGCTAGCTACCATTCCACCGAGAAGTATAGATGAGCATTGGTTGCAATTGCATGACGCCATGAAAATGGCGAGTAAAGCCGCTTGCAGCTTCGAGAAACATCCCGCTTATGAGCACTGGGTTTCTGCAGGTTCCTTACAACTCATTAAAACCTGTCGGTCTACTCCGGGTGACCGTGAGTTTGACCATAAACGACTGTTTAGTAATGAAATTGACCGAAGTTTGCGTAAGGACCGAGAAGCCTGGTGGTCGAAGCGTGCTAATGAGCTGGAAGCAGCAGCTGCATCTGGTAATTACCGGAAGCTCTTCCAGCTCATCCGAGCCACTGGCAGCAAGAAATCTGGTGTGAGTGAAACAATCTGCGAGGATGATGGGATCCCAATCACTAACATCCATCGACGTCTTGGACGATGGGCAGAATTCTTCGAAGGGCAGTTCAACTAGCCTGCTGCTCCGGCGACATCGATCAGACAGTCCTGCCCTCCATGGCCGGTGACGACCGATCCACCAAATGCGGTGGAAGTCCGCAATGGACGCTATAAATCACTGGACCCAGATGGCCTACCTCCGGCTCCTTTTAAAGGTTGTGGTGACTTTGTGACTAAGGAACTGACGACGTTGTTTAAAAAGGTCTGGGAGCTGGAGAGTGTACCAACGTCATGGAATGAGTCGATAGTTTTCCTTATCTTTAAAAAGGGTTCACGTCGTTCCTGTAACAACTATCCGGGAATAAGTCTACTTCCGATTGCGTCCAAGCTATTGGCTTCCGTCATTCTTCGTAGGTTGTTCAAAACCCGAGAAAGTTTGACTCGCGAAGAGCAGGCTCGTCTTCGTTCCGGTCGAGGATGTATTGATCATATCTTCACCCTCCGCCAAATGTTAGAACAACGTCATACTTATCAAAGGCCAACAATCGTAGTGTTTCTTGACACTAGGGCCGCCTTCGATTTGTTGAATAGGACTGTTCTCTGGGATCGTCTATTGAAGAAGGGTGTGCCTGGGAAGTTTATTAACATCTTAAAGGCCCTATATATAGACACTTCAGTCAGATTGAGGACATGCAACCACCTATCTCCATCGTTCCATTCAGGCAGTGGGGGCAGGCAGGGTTGTCGAATCTCACCATTCCTGTTCAACTTTGCTATCGATGATTTTCTGGAAACAGCTCTGATGGATGTAGGTAGTGGTAGTGTGGATCTGTTGCCTGACGAAAAACTTCAATTTTGAGTAGGTGAATGATATTGTCTTACTGTGCGATGATACCTTAGCCATGCAATCCATACTTAATCACTTGACAGTCAGTGTCCGTAGGTATGGCATGTGCTTCGTACCTTCTAAGTACAAAGTACTTCTACAAAACTGGCAGAATTCTAATCCTGCCCTCACTCTGGATGGTGAACAGATAGAAGTAGTCGGGAAGTTCGTGCATCTGGGTAGCTGCGTGAGTGATGAGATCAACTCATATAGTTAAAGCGGCTTATGCCAATTTGGGCCTTTTTTACGCTTGCGTGATGTCAATCTGTCTGTAAAAGGTCGAATCAACAGAGCGTTGATGAGAGCAGTTTTGCTCTATGTTTATGAAACCTGGTCTCTCTGAGTTGAAAATGTTAGACGACTCTGTGTTAGATCATCGTTTTCTCCGAAAGATTACTGACATCCAGTGGCAACACCATGTTAGTAATGCAGAGGTCCGGCATCGTGTGTTCAGGCACAGTGACGATAATTCAATTGGTATCACTATCTTGAAACATCAACTTCGGTGGCTTGAACATGTCCTACGAATGTCACCTCAGGGAATCCCACGTCTTGTATTAATTACCTGACGCTGGGACTGGTTGGAAAAAGCGGAGAGGTGGTCCGTGTATGACATAGTGTCGTGGTATGAAAGAAAGCTGCAAAGGGCTGGCTTGTGTTGGTCCTTCACGTCTCCCTGGCTGGGGTTCGAGAGATGGTGTAACACAGTGGCTAGAGACGTTATCAGATATGGCTCAGAATAGAAGCCAGTGGCGATCGTGCTGTGTCCTTCTTTTACTTTCTTCATTAAAAAAATGGTTGTGTCTTCCTTAACTGAAAGATTTCTTCTGATTGTACCTTTCCGTTTCCCCCATTATTACTATTATTATTATTACACCACCTTACACTAATCTGTTCGTTATTGTTCTTTTTTTTCTCTTCGAATTCTCATTGTTTGGTGTGGTGCATATATATTTGGTGCCCTCTTGTACCAACATTTATGTGTTCAAATAAATAAGTACCATTGTTCATTTCTTACATCTCCGGGGATTCATTTCGAAACAGTAACTGAAATTTCATAAATTGTCCATTCTCTGATTAGGCGTGATAGTTTTCTCTGTTTTACCCGGACCAATTCTA